CTTTCACACCTCCTACATTTAAGACTTTGAAGGTTGATAGCTCCTGATAGATTAGGAATCTTCCTTAGTTCCGTGCAATAACAAAGATCAATTACCTTTTGTTGAAGTATGGTGCCAAGCACACGCTGGTACGCTCGTGCATGGCAGCTACTGCTAACGTTCGTGGAACGTTCTGGTCTCATGTGCAACGGATCTCTGCTTGTGGAGTTACAGCAGTTATTGCTGTTAGGCAGTTAGAGTCTTGTTAGAGTAGTTGTAGTGCAGTTAGTCTCTTGCACTCTTGTTGAATCTTGTAGTTTTGCTAGCTATATAAGGCATGTAAGATTGAAGGAATGAATGAAAAAGAGCATTATTTGTTTCTAGCTATGTTGCAAACTCATGGTTACTAAGCTCTCTCAACATGGTATCATTCGCTGATACATCCTAGGGTGTGCTTTCGCTGTTCGTTTTCCTATGGATCACAGTACCTCGTCTATAGCCACATCAATGGAGTTCTCATCAAGGAACACTAAAAGTCTTTACCAATAAAAGAGAGTGAACGTAAAGCTTGATGAAACTAACTTTCTGTTGTGGAAACAACAGGTTCTGCTCACTGCAAGGAGCCATCGCCTTGAAAGAATGCTTAATGGTACAACTCACCCACCTCCAGAAACAGTGGTTGGTGAAGATGGAGTTGTAGCCGCCAATGAAGAACATTAAGAGTTCTTGGCTCAAGACAGTGCGTTAGCTTCTTGGCTGCTTTTGACGATTAGTCCTCATTTACTCCCATAGTTCGTTGATGCTGAAACGTCTGCCCAGGTATGGAACAAGGTTTTACAATTCTTTTCCAATCGCTCTACCACTACAGTCATGAGCCTACACTACAAGCTCCAATATCTCAAGAAATGAGGAGATAGCATGAGATATTATCTCACAAAAGTAAAAGAAGTCATTGATGCCATGTGAGTATTCTCAGGGGCCTCACAAGGGAGTATCAACCCTTCATCGCGGTTATATCTGCCATGCGTGACACACTGTCACTTGACAATATATGCACGATGCTCATTGACGCTGAAACTCAACTTGAAGGCTTTGATTATCAACCTGAATCCTTACCTGTTAGTGCCAATCTTGCACAAGGAAAAGGCGAGGCTGAATCTTATAAGAACCAAGAAAACAATAGCCTCGATCAAGCCACTCGTCCTACTCTCGTGGGAGATCTCGTGGTAGAGGCAGGACACGGCCGAGAGTTCAATGCCAACTATGTGGCAAAATTGGTCATCTTGTCAACCAATGTTGGCATAGGTTCGATGAGGACTTTTCTGGTATTTCGATTGACGATCACACTGCTGGCTCTGACTCCTCTAAAGCATACTATACTGCAACCAGTAACAATGAAAGCACATGTGCTTGTTGTAATCACAACAGCGCACATCGTGGTGACAACAGGAGTACTACAAAAAGCCAACCGCATGCAGTATATGCTGGCCAAGATCAGTGGATAACTGACTCCGGTGTAACACACCATGTCACCCTCAACGAAGCCTCCATCACATCTCACTCGAGCTATAATAATCCTGGTAACTTGATGGTAGGAAGTGGAGACTACCTACCAATTCACTTGGTTGGTAAGGCTGAGTTGAATACTTCTTCTAGAACTTTGGCCTTAAGCAACATCCTACATGTTCCCTCAATAACGAAAAACTTGCTTTCTGTTTCTAAGATTGCTAAGGAAAACAGTGTGTTCCTCGAATTTCATGCCAAAACGTGTTATGTTTGAGATGAGGCCTCCAAGACAATTTTGCTGCGAGGAGAAGAATGAAATGGGCTATATACTTTCAAAGCAAGTAGAGCTCGATGCCAAAACAGTGTGGTTGAAGCACAGACTACTATAGCTTCCTCCACAGCCTCAGAAATATGGCACAGAAGACTGGGTCATCCAGCTCATGACACACTTGCTAAAGTTTGTAAACAATTCAATGTAAAATCATTAGATGATATTAATAAGAACTGCATTGCTTATCATCTTGGTAAAAGCCACAAGTTGCCATTCCCTTGCTCGGACAGTGTATACAACAAACTGTTTGAACTCGTGTATTCTGATTTGTGGGGACCTCCACATGTTTCATCTAATGGCTTTAGATTCTATATTTCTTTTGTTGATGCTGCCACACGATTCACTTGGTTGTATCTACTAAGGACAAAGGATGAAGCCTTAACCGCGTTTCATCTATTTCAAAAGCTAATTGCCACACAATTTGGTGCATCAATCAAAGCCCTTCAAACTGACTGGGGAGGAGAATTTTGACCATTGACTAATGAGCTAAGCAAAGCAGGTGTGGTTCATCACATCACCTATTCCAACACGTCCGAGCAGAACGGAGTAGTGGAACGGAAGCATAGACACCTCGTCGAGATGGCCTTGGTGTTATTTGCACAAGCATCCATGCCTATTAAGTACTGGTCCTATGACATTCAAACCACTGCACATCTTGTAAACAGACTTCCTTCAAAGTTACTTCTAGACAAGTCCCCGTTTGAGATGCTATATGGCAAGCCACCAGACTACAGTAGCCTGCGGGTATTTGGGTGCAGGTGCTTCCCACACCTAAGACCATTTCTGCAACACAAGTTAGAGTTTAGATCCCAGCTATGTATATTCTTGGGGTACAACAAGCAACACAAAGGTTTTCAGTGCATGGCAAGTAATGGGCGAGTTTATATTTCCAGACATGTTGTCTTTAATGAAAATGTCTTTCCTTTTACAGGAAACTCTGGCCGAGCCTCAATTGTTGCCCCAATTGGGAACACTTCTCAGTCGCTCAAACTGGTCATTGATGTCACCAGGTTAGAATCTTCACGAGTTGGTCATAACATAATATCTTTAAGTGCTACCAGAAGCAGCTCAATGAGCAGTCCACAAGGTTCAACTGCCAGTCAAGATGTATTGGACGTTGTGGTTGCCCTTGAGGTTCCTGCTGTTGATACTCATGGAGATTATCAAAATGAGTTACATTCAAAACAAAATGTGCATAACTCACTCGTATACGATGACACTGAAGATGAAGAACAAAATTCGATATTAAATGATGGCACTGAAAGTGAGGCTGCTCGGGTCAATAATCACCCAATGATGACTCGGAGTAAATGCGGTGTGTTTAAACCGAAAACTTACCTAGGAGCTTCTGTTGATGATGTTTCATACAGTGTGCATGAAGCACTTAAGTCTCCAGAATGGAAGGCTGTTGTTCTTGAAGAATACAATGCATTATAACGCAATGGGACTTTGGAATTAACCAAGCTACCTGAAGGAAGGAAGGTGATAGGCTGTAAGTGGCTTTTTAAGGTCAAGAAAAATCCTGATGGCACCGTCCATCGCTACAAGGCACGACTAGTGGCTAAGGGTTTTTCTCATATCCATGGCTATGATTTTCGGGACACATTCAGTCCTGTAGTCAGGTTCAACACACTGAATGTCATACTATCATTGGATGTAACCAACAACTGGACCCTAAGGCAAGTCGATATGAACAATGATTTTTTAACAGACTTACAGGAGGTGGTCTTTATGCAGCAGCATCCCGGATTCGAACAAAATGCCCTCGATGGAAGCAAACTGTTGTACTACCTGAAAAAGGCGTTGTATGGATGAGGCAAGCACCAAGGAGTTGGCATACTAAGCTTCGAGATAGCTTGCTGAGCATTGGGTTCAAAGAATCGAGAGCAAATGTGTCTTTGTTCATTAAGAAGGATGGCCAGCACTATGTGTACTTGTTAGTCTATGTTGATGATATCATCATCACATGCCACTCGAGTGATCGAGTCAATGAAGTAGTTCGGTTACTGAGTGACAAATTCTCCCTAAAAGACTTGGGGCAGCTCGCGTACTTTCTGGGAATTGAAGTCAAACGAGCTAATGGCTACCTTGCACTCTCACAGAAGAAGTTCATCATGGAAATCCCTGAGAAAGATGGTATGTTGAAAGCCTCTTCAACACCAACTCTTATGGTGGCAGCTACCAAACTACGTTGTGACGATGGATAACTCATTTCCGATGCTCACTTCTATCGCAGCATTGTTGGAGGGTTGTTGTACGTCTGCCATACAAGACCTGACATTGCTTTATGTGTTAACAAAGTCGCTCAGTTCATGCATGCTCCACGACAATCCCACTTGGCTACAGTTAAACGAATCCTGCGATACTTGGCTGGTACATTGGATTTTGGCCTAACTTTCACTGCTATTGGAACTGGTGTGAAGGTGGCTGCCTTTGCTGATGCCGACTGGGGAGGCAACCTCGATGACATGAGGTCAGTTTCTGGGCACAGTGTGTTTGTTGGAAACAATAAAGTTGCATGGAGCTCAAAGAAACAAAAGTTCGTGTCGAGATCCACCATAGAGGCAGAGTACAAGAGCGTCGCCGACACAACTGCCGATGTAGTGTGGGTTGGAGCCATGCTAACTGAACTTGGTATATGTCAGAAAGAGGAGCCTGTCATATGGTGCGACAACACCAGTACTGTAGCTTTTAGCGCCAATCCAGTCTACCATGCTCACAGCAAACATGTTGATTTGGACATACATTTCGTACGCGAGAAGGTTGCTGCCAAACTGATGAAGGTCAACTATGTACCAGCTGATCATCATATTGCTGATGGATTAACAAAGCCACTAGCACGAAATGCCTTTGAAAAATTTCATGCGAAGTTATGTGTGAAGCTATGCTGAGAAGAATGAGAGGAGAGAAAGCAGGAAGAATGTTGAAGTATGGTGCCAAGCACACGCTGGTACGCTCGTGCATGGCAGCTACTGCTAACGTTCGTGGAACGTTCTGGTCTCATGTGCAACAGATCTCTGCTTGTGGAGTTATAGCAGTTATTGCTGTTAGGTAGTTAGAGTCTTGTTAGAGTAGTTGTAGTGCAGTTAGTCTCTTGCACTCTTGTTGAATCTTGTAGTTTGCTAGCTATATAAGGCATGTAAGATTGAAGGAATGAATGAAGAAGAGCATTATCTGTTTCTAGCTATGTTGCAAACTCATGGTTACTGAGCTCTCTCAACACCTTTAAATTAACAAGATCCTGTAAAATGAAAGTATACAATAACTACATTACATCACAGCATTATCTGCTTATTTTGGACTGAATAAAAAAATATAAATTACCTGATAATCTTCTTTTCCAAAGCTGTTCTATGTGGACAAAATGTAATTTCAGCACAATGAGATTTTTTGTATTAAAACTTGGTGACAAAGATTTGAAGGGATAAAACGTCCAACAAAGATCATTAGAAAGAGATACGCTATCAGCTCTCCGACAAATACTTCGTACAGAGGTGGATAAATTTAAGATTAATCATGTTCCTAAAACCAGTAGGACATAATGACATCTCGTGTTCAATTCCAGTCGATTGTAATTTTATTCCTTCAACTGATTTATTCACCTAATAACAAGAAAATAATTTATCAAGCATCAGTATATAAAAGTTAATGGCCATTTCATTTAAAAGAATGTAACTATAATAGGGAAGGCTTAGACTGATTGTGTGGGCATACGTTTTTTATTACTGGAACTTTTAGACAATAAAAAATGTTTGTTCATACTTGAGCATATCCCATATTATACTCTACAACATTGGTCATTATATGGTGTGGTAAGTAAATATTCTGAAATAATAATTGAACGGATTAATATTTTGATACACTTTATAAGTAATAATATATAATTAAATGAATTTTTGTATTAATAAATATCAAGTATTAATCCTAATTAAAATCATTAAAATAAAAGAGAACATGGATACAATTAGCGCTTTATTATATCTAAACACGTGACTAACAATCTTGGGACTCCATAACCTACTACGCTTTCCAGGATTTTAGATTCTTGGCGAACAATATCTTTGCCCATCTCTTCAAGCATATTCCTTTAATTTTATCTACCTCGCTTTCCCAGTCTTTTCTGCACTTTTTATACGGTTTATAACCCAAGACTTTAAGAGCAAGTGGACTGCCTTGGGCGTACTGCACAAACTTGTACGATAAATCTTGAAAATCAACAGTTGGATTCAACAGGTTGAATGCAAATGTAGAAAAAAGTCGAAGAGAATCGATCACATTTAGCTTTTTTACCTCGTCTATTTTGTCAGCTCCTCCATTCTTAAGCACTTGTCTATCTCTTGATGTTACAACAGTTTTACTTCCATCGCCCAAATATTTAACACCCATAACATCTATTTGGTCTGAATCATTGACATCATCAAGGACAACAATTGCTTTTATATTGTTGAGCCTCTCTCGGATAAAAGTGGATAGGATGGAGGGGGTGTCTATACAAACTTCCGATACTAATAATTTGGAAAGAAGCTCATTTCGTAAAGATTCTTTTCCCTGTTTTTTTTTTATTATTATTTTCTTTCTAACATTTTGAAGAAAGTAAGAACTTGAAACGTAGGAGAGATTTCATTATAGAAGGGTAGTTTTGCCTATACCACCCATTCCCCAAAGTCCTATTATTCGACCGTTTCCTTGTTCGATCAGGTTCATAATCATCTTTTTCTCATATTCTATTCCAACAAGTTCTTCAGAAACACTACTAGACTTGTTATTCAACTTTTCCATGACATATTGAACGACATCGTGAATGTACTCGGTATCAGATCTGAGAAATAGTTTTGGAAAAAAATAAAGTCAAAAGGAAGACAAGTCAAATATAAGAAGATGAAAGTATATAATTTTATATTTACCTATCGAATTTGCCTCCGTCTATATGCCTCCCCTTTATTTTACCGATCTCAACAAATGCAGCTTTCCATCTCTTGACTTCATCGAGTGGCCTATTTGATTCATGTTCTTCAAAGGATGTTTTGAAGCGTCCACTGAGATTCCGTACATCGGAGGGATCAACATGGTAAAATATGGGAAGAACGATATGTTCTTGACTGTGCTTGCGATCCATGATATCAGAGAGCTCGGCTAAGCATGATTTGGAAGAAGCATAGTCGGCAGATAAGACGATTATCCAGAGACTCGATGCTGCAATTGCTTGGGAGAGTGCGAGTGAAAGTTGCTCCCCTTTTTCCAGTTTTTCTTCATCGAAGAAGACATTCATTCCGGTGTCTTTCAAAGCTTTGAGTAGATGGCCGGTGAAATTGAGGCGCGTGTCCTCACCTCTGAAGCTCAAGAAAACTTGATACTTCAATTGAGGAGAATAGGATGAAGAAGCAGCCATGAAAAGGTACGAGCGTAAGACGAAACAGAATGGATACCGTAAAGAGAAACGAGAAATAGTCAGAGAGCTATGATTTGAAAAAAATAAAAACCAGGAAAGGTAAAGCGTCGATTCATTTCAGAAAACATAAACATTTGTTTAATGGCTGCTTTTTCACATAAAGGTAATCAAAGGGTCAACATTACGATGCAAATCCCTAATAGATTGACTCATGAGTTTGTAATTTAATCGATTTATAATAAAAATATTTACATTGTATAAGAATTATAAAATTTTCAGATAAAAATTAAAAAAAAGTAAAATTTAAAGTTTAACTCGAATCGAAAATTCGCAAGTTATTTACATTGTATAAGAATTATAAAATTTTCAGATAAAAATTTTAAAAAAATAAAATTTAAAGTTTAACTTGACTCGAAAATTCACGAGTTTAAAAATTTTAAGCTCAACTTGAAATCAAAAATCAAAGGTCCGCTCAAGCTTGAAAAAACTTGAACTCGAAATTTTAAACTTAGATCGATTGAAGCTCAAACTCAATCTCGGTTCAAATTCGAGTTCGAACATGAATATTAAGTACATAAAAATCTTATATTGTATTTAAAAAATAACAACATATAAATGCTAATCTTGTTAATAATTTGATTTAAAAAAATTAAAATATTTTATCAATTATTTACGAGTTTTTCTAGTCAGATATCAAATAACTCGTTTCGGCTTGTTAATAACTCAAGTCGAGTTCGAACTCTAGTCAAGTCTATTTGATTCAAATATTGGCCGAACTTTGATCAAATCAAACTCTAGTAACTCATGATATGTTTCGTATTATTACAACCCTATTTAAACCATTTATAACACCAATATATATATATATATATATATATATATATATATATATATATATATATATATATATATATAAACTAAGATTAGATCGGATCGGATCGGATCAGATGAAATCAGCTGAATTATAAATAAATTTAACTGCACTATAATTTTTACATCTTAGGATTTAAATATCTCATACACAAAATTCGTCAACTATTGTAATTGCACCTGTTCAAATATAAAGAAACACTTTTATACTCCCTTAAGAGACAGAGGGGAAAACTTTGAGGATACTTTGCGCAATCACACCTAAAATATGAATCCATATTATTAAAATTAAGAAATATAAAAGCATTTTATGAATATAATAATTCAATTTTCATACTTGTAGAATTAATGGGTTCTATCAAAAGCCCAAAGTTTATCGATGGCCTGTCCAAAGTAAGAAAGCTTAAAATATTAAAGGCCCCATTTTGTAATTAATTGGACTAATTTTGTGCCCTTTATGTTTTTTGTATGTTCAAATTTGCTTTTTAATTTTTAGACATTGATTTAGGGTATTAAAAATATTTTAATAGTTAACTAAATAATTACTTTATTTAATGTAATTATTTTGGTATTTTAGTCTTCAACATTTTATTTTAGAGTAAAAAAATGTTTGACTAAATAGTCACTTTATCCCTTATTTTTTTAGAGCATTTTGGACTCCAACATCTCATTTTAGATAAAAAAAAATGCATATATTTTAGAGTGTTAATCATTTGTTGACTAACTATTTTCATCCATGGAAGGGCTTTTTTATCCAAAAATAAAATATTTAGGGGCAAAATACTCTAAAGAAAACGAATAGGCCAAAAAAAATATTTAATCAAATGTTAATGATATTTTTTACATTATATATTGATTTAACATATTTACGTCCTTCGGGTAACATGTTTTTTTAAGGGTAAAGTACACAAATGATCCTTTGACTATAATGTATTGTTTTGTTGAGTCCTCGACTATTAAAAGTTACAGAATAATCACTCGACTATTCAAATGTTCCAAACTCATCCTTTTCAATTAAAAAATTAACGCCTGTATGAGTGGACGTTAATATGTTAATTGTGATATGATAAAATTTACTCTCAGAACCATTTGAGTTGTATTTTATGGATTGACTCTCCGTTTACATTATATTGCCGAACCAATAGTTGAAACATTATGTCGTTCAACGAATGCTTGAAAACAACGGTAATGCTAATAGACATTATTAAAATATGATTTTATCATATTTCAGTCAACATGTTAACGTCCAACTCAGACGATAGTTATTTTCTTAATGAAAAATGACGAGTTTGGAACATATAAATAGTTGAATGATCATTTTGTAACTTTTAATAGTCGAGGGACTCAACAAAATAATGCACTATAGTCGATGATCATTTTATAACTTTTAATTGTAATGAACTCAATAAAACAACACCATATAATCAAGGGACCATTTGTATAGTTTAACTTTTTTTAAGAAAACATTTTTATACTCATCGTGTTTATATAGTTTTTTTAAAAATTATATTAATATTTTGATTAAAATAATTAATGATATTAATTATTTAAACTAATTGATAATATTATAATATGTTTTTTTTGAAAATACCTAAATTTAAATTTACACATGTGCATACTACACAACTTGAATTCAATTCATCAAGGAAAAACAAAAATTCTTTAACCGCTAGGACCACCATAAGAATTAAATATTATAAAAAATTGAATAGAAGTCGCTAGATTTATTAAAAAAATATCCAAATTACAATGAAGGTTTAGAATCATAACAATAAACTAAACACATAATACAAACATTTTCCAAAGACAAGAAAGCTAGCCATTTAAGATCACAAAATGATCATACAATGAAAATGTTAAAACCTAAGAAAATAAAATCAAACAAAAAGCACTTAAGAATATATTTGACCGCATCGGCAAATGAATTATATAAGGGGTTAAGCTATTGAAATATCACTGAAAACTACAAATTAAAGTCGAGCAACATGAAAAACTATACACAAACGCAAGTTACGTATCTAAATCCAATATGAGGGTCTGAATCAAGGAAGATCAACATGATAACAAATAACCGACATCTTTATCAGTCACGGTGATGTAAAATCTAACCCTTAGGAAAAAAAAAGATAAACAAAAAAAGTCAAACGACTGAAAATGTGTCATAAATATTGAGAAAATCATGCCATAAAGACATAGAAAAATGTATTATAAAGATAATATTATTAAAAATTAAAAAATTAGAAAAAAAAGATACATTATAATAAAATAAATGAAAAACAATGAATACCAACGGTCGATGATCAACACTAAAGTTGGTGTCGTCATTAGAGATGGGCACAGGACCCGAACTCGACGGGTTTCAACTTAACCTTATTCTATTGGGTCAGATTTTTAAAAAAAAAAATAGGTTTGGATCGAGTCGAGTTAGGGTTTAGGGGGAAATATATGATCTGACCTGACCAAAAAATATATAATTATACCTTATATATTTAGGGATAATTGTAATAATATATCTCTATATATTATTTTTTAAAATTAAATTTATATTTTTTTATTAAATAAAAGTAATATTTTTATACAAATATATTATTTTGAGTCGGGTCGGATAGGATTCATATTATATCTTAAAATGGTGGGTTAGGTTCGGGTTGAGTGAAATGTGTATATTTTTGGATCAGATTTAGGTCGAGTAGAAGGTGTATAATTCTCAGTTCAGATCGATTTGACCGAAAACACAACCCATGCAATCCATAGTCTTCACCAATCACAAAGATTAAAAAAAAAAGCTAACGATGATTAAAAAAAGAGAGAGAAAACTAGAACAAACCCTAATATTAATCTCAATATTATAAAATTTTAGATATTATAAATATATAAAATCTTATGAAAATTGCGTGACCATGACTGAAATATGTGGACACATTCCGACTTGTGTAACAAAGAAAAAGGTGGCATTGATCTCACCTTATTTTTTGTATTATATAAATAAAATAAATCTAAATTATTATAAAAGAAGATGAAATGACCACGTCACCATCCACAAATTTTAAAGTGTGATTAGTTGTGTCACGAACGTTCATTTAGTACGAGAATAATGTAAAATAGATTAATTCATCAGTTTTTAGAGTATAATATCTATAAAGTTTTTAAATTTTTTATAGAATACTTAAAATACTTAAAAATTTTAAATTTTAATATTAAACATCATGATTGAAAAAATAATTTTCAATATAATCTTAAAAGTTTGAATTTTTTAATTTTTATTGTGAAAAATCACTTTTGAGAGATTTTTTTATTCTCAAATATTATATTTTCAATTTATAATATAATATATAAAATTAATATTTTTTTAAAATCATTTTTCAACAACAATCTCAAACAATTAAATTTAAATTATATTTTAAAACAAATAAAAATACAATTTTTACCAAATTTATCAAAATCATTTTTAACGATTTTAAAATATTTAACATTGTTTATTAGGATTGAAAATCACTTTTACTGTTTCCCAAAGCCATCAAGTTCCAATGTACCGTTTATTTGAATGATTTAATCGGTTCACAAGTGCAAGCTAGGCAAGTTGCTGGAAAATAGGAGCAGAGAAACCCCTTAGCCCCATATGTCATCTGCTCTATTTTAAAGGCTAGAACTTTGTCGCATTAGGCTTAGGCTCAGACTCAGAGGACTCCAATGGCCAGTTGGATTTTGTCAGAATATGGCTTAAGGCCCCTCCCTGGAATCAGTTTCTATGCAACACCAAAACCCAGATCTTCATTTCCTTTAATTAATGTTTTCAAGTTCAGAACTTTCCCTGCTTCATCTTCATTCAAGGACTCATCAACTTGGTTTAAAAGAAGAAACTTTGTGGGTTCTTTGAATGTCAGTGCTCCTTTGGAGGTACAGACCATTAATGGGATTGAAGACGATGATGGTAAATTTGACCCTGCTGCGCCTCCGCCTTTCAAGTTGGCCGACATTCGGGCTGCTATACCCAAGCATTGCTGGGTTAAGGATCCATGGAGATCTATGAGTTATGTTTTGAGGGATGTTGTTGTTTTTGGTTTGGCTGCTGTAGCTGCTTATTTCAACAACTGGATCGTTTGGCCCCTTTATTGGATTGCTCAGGGAACCATGTTTTGGGCCCTTTTTGTTATCGGTCATGACTGGTTTGGCTACTGTCGCTGCTTATTTCAAGTTTTTAGTCTTTGATTGTCATGCCATGTCTGGTCTTAGTCTGGTTTTGTGTTTTTACAGTGGCCACGGTAGTTTCTCCAACAGCACGGCATTGAACAGTGTTGCAGGTCATCTTCTTCAATCCTTGACTTGAATTTGGACTAATATTTTGGCCATGTATAAATCAAATTGCCAACTTGTTGAGGATATATGCAGGAGAATTAGTAACAGAACTCGTCATCAGAACCACGGACATGTTGAAAACGACGAATCATGGCATCCAGTAACGTCTTCAATTCTTTTTCTGAACGAGTTATTTACATGTAAATTTCATTTCAACTTATTTAAATTTGCAATTTACTCCTTTTTCTGCAGTTATCTGAGAAAATTTACAAGAGTTTAGATACTGCAACCAGATTACTGAGGTTCACCTTGCCTTTCCCTATGCTTGCTTATCCAATCTATCTGGTAAGCCGTAGATTCTATCACCGATTGTATTCGTTTACGAACCTATGATTTGTGGTACATTGATTCGTTTTGTCGACGACACTGTGGGGTCGAAGTCCCAGGAAAAAGGGTTCCCATTTCCATCCGGACAGCAATTTGTTCGGCCGGAACGAAAGAACAGATATAATTACTTCAACTGCTTGTTAGGCAGCAATGGTTGGTTTGCTTGTGTATTTATCTTTTGCAATGGGTCCAATTCAGTTGCTTAAACTCTATGGCATTCCTTACTATGTTTCAGTTCCTTCAAACACATATTTTCTTCAAAAGCCTTTGTTTTCCGGTATTATATCACCTGAATGCGCCTATAAAATTCAGATATTCGTCATGTGGTTGGACTTGGTTACTTACCTACACCACAATGCCTGGAGGAAGGGTTTGAAAAAATGTTTCTGCTACAACATGAAACATCATGATATTGAAACTTTAGTACCCTGCAACTGAACTGCTATATATATTTGATTACTAACCAGGAATGAAGTTATTTGAGAGGAGGGATGGATCAACAACATCCACCACGATATTAGAACTCATGTTATACATCATCTTTTGATCCCACACTACCACTTAATTGAAGCCGTGAGTATATCATCATCTCCCTCTCCTACATCAGTTATGTTTCCTGTTACTGAAAAAAATGTTACATGAACTTGAATTACAGACAGAGGCAGCAAAGCCGGAGCTTGGGAAATATTACCGGGAGCCACAGAAATCTGGGCCTTTCCCGTTGTATTTGCTCGGGGTCCTCATAAGAAGCATGAGAAAGGATCATTACGTATGTGACAGTGGTGATGTTGTCTACTATCAAACAGACCCTCAACTATATGAAGCTAACAAATCAGATTGAAAATGCTGAAGTTTTTCCAAGCTGAACTAGTAAATCCCTACAGATTTTCTCTGGTTAAACCTCGATTGCCGGATATGTAAAACAGCATGCAGATCGTCATTCTTTCCTCCCCTATTGAAAATTAGCCTGTGATGTTTCTACTTCACAATACCCAAATCTGCACTATCAGTTAGGAACCTCTCATTGGTGCTCGATTTCCACTGTAGATTCTTTGGATGAAAAATTGATAATTGTAGCCACACAAGGTTGTCTTCATTAATGGTCCGCAAGACAAGACCAAAGTACAGACATATATTACAACAAAAGTAGCGTTTTAATAGTTTTCACCACATAATGACCATGTGCAATGTTCTAAGGTGCAAACTGATCAATGCAAACTGCAAAGTAGATTGTTTTGCATTTTCCATTCATCACCTATGAAGGTGGGACATTATTATAAGTTTTAGCTAAAAAATCGAGGGCAAAAAACAAAGAAGAAAAGACTAGTTTCCGGGTTGTAGTTCAAGGTACATAAATTACATAGTCGAATGTGTTTGATGTAACTTATCCATGTGCGGGGACGGTTCAATTGCTGTTGATGGATCAATCAATATGGTGAAGAACGGACTGCATTCATGAAAGAAAATATCTGTGATTGGTTCTTCTGAATACCATCTGGGCCGCAAATGCCGCTACTTACATCAACTCCATGAGGTTTGAGAGTACTAATGGCCTCACAGACGTTATTAGGGTTGATTCCCCCAGCCAAAAGCCAGCCGTGTTTGCTTTTGATTGACGGTAATTTAAAACGAGCCCAGTTAAATCCTTTGCCACTGCAAAGCATGTATCCGAATTAGTTTAGTGTTTATAATTGAATTAGAATGGCATAATGAATTTTCCTTTTTTAAAAACAAATGTAACTTAAGTTAAACGAAGATAAGGTTACTAACCTGCCACCTTTCGCACTATCTACAAGAACCCAGTCTACTAAAGAACAGTCTTCATCGGAAATCTGGTTTTGAAGGTCTCCCTCTTCATTTGCGTGAAGAACATACATGATTCTGTTTTCTTGCACTAACTTTGGAAAAGCTGCCCGAGAAAGATCTCCATGAAGCTATATAAGATTGAAACAATGTCATTTACAAGAAAGGTAATTGAGAATTTGAGACTGAATAAGTATATATACCTGCACATATTCAATGTTTGATGCATCGGAAGCTCTTAAAATTGTGTCTAAATCATCATCGACAAAGACTCCAACAGGCTCAGCCCCATATTCCCTTGCAACTTCTGAGATTTCCTTTGCAACTGAAACCGAAATGGAGCGTTTGGACTTGGGCCAAAGGATCATCCCAATGAAATTGGCGCCGGCTTCTGCTGCCATAGCAGCATCTCTAGCCGATGTAATGCCACACATTTTGACCAAAGGATGACTCTTTTCATTCCCCTCGATCGAAGAAAAGTCCAGGTTCGATTGTGCAATGTTGCATCTAACTTTATTCTTAGGATATGACCTGGTTCTTAAGGCGAGCAATTTCCCTCCACTTCGGCCTGCTAATACATTCATGAGGAAAATATAACACTAAACATTCAAAGAATCATCCGAAATCGTAAAAATCACAAGCTACCTGCTATTTGCCTCGAATGAAAGTTCAAAACTTTAGGCTGGAATTGACTTCCAGTAGCTAAACCTGAGTCAACAATGAACATAACAGTAAAAAAACAGTGCCTTCCAACCGAAATGCAGAAAAAAAAAAGGACAAAAGTATTGCAATTTAAGTTGGCTTCTTACAAAAAGAAGGTAAGATTCAACACACAAAGTCCATTGCACGGTAATTAGTGATACCAAAAACAGACGGAAATTTCATTCATTGGAAAATAAAATTTGATTTTAATCTCTTAGAATGATTTTAACATTGATATTGGACTCAGATACAGTAAAATACACATTAGAAATCTACTTAGGAAGGATCAAATAAATTCCCCAAGACTATAAAGTATAACAAAACATAAAAATGAAAGAACTTCACATCAAAATAGATGAATTTACTCAAAATTCATCAAACCCAGAAATAATAAGACATCTGTATTCGTCCCAGATACATCAAAATGTAGATAAATCATTTAGATAGAGATGGTCAAACAAGTTCCCCTAGAAATAACGAGAGATCACTTCAGAGAATATTAACAAACAAGTTATCTACGCTAATCTTACAAGAAGGAAAACAGAGAAAAGGGGAAAGGTGAAACCTGAAAGCATCACTCTTTCCTGCTTTTTTCTGGGAAATTGAACCAAACAAACAAAATTTATGAAAAGCCAAGTTGAAAATCAGAAAATCAGATGTCGATTTTGCGTTGTAGAAATGCCAAGGTGAGAATGTGAAATAAAATTTCTACAGCGGGCTCGAATAGGACGAAAGAGAAACTTGTTTTAAGAGGGCTTGATGGGCGTTTACATGCCCTTAAAGCCCAATTATCTAAGCATTTCAACGGTTCATAGAACAACTTTAATAAGTTAGGCCGAAAGCAACCCTTAAAATCCATAATATTTGGGTTTGGGTCCAAAAACTTGTAGTTTTTTTTACACTATTTGGATTAAAAAAATATTTGAATGAATTAAAATATGATTTTCTTTGATTTAAAATTTTGGGAGATTTTGAATCGTTTAAGTATTATATTAAAAATTGTAATTAAACTCTATCCCATAAATATTGTGAATCTAATCCAAGCTTTAAAAATAAAAGGTTAAATTATACTATTGGTCCATATGCCACTATAAGTTCATACACACCAATTTAATCACTTTTAGTCAATGGACCGTTTTAAGTTTTAAAATTTTGATCCTTAGTAGTTATTAAATGTATTAAGTTAAACTTTATTATTACTCGCTATACAATGCATAATTATAGATTTATTTTATAGACTCTAATTTATTCAATTTTAGTCTTATAAATTTGTCATATTGATCATGTATCATTAAAATTGAAATTTTAAATTTGTAACACGTACAAACTAAAACTGACCATATTAAAATGTATTTACAACTTATATATAATATTGGGAGTGTTGATGAAATTTTACTAAATTCATCCATCTCGTAAGATATTTTCAAACCCAAATCATTATCAGAAAAATATAATAAAAAATTAATTCTAAGTATTATTAGCCATTAAAAATAATATTTTACATAAAATAAAAAAGAAAGAAAGATATTACTAAATTTGGTTAGTGGGAGGAAGAATTAGAACCACAGTTTTGATAGAAAAGAAATCAGAAATGGAAAGCATCACGCCTGCCCTCATATTGTTTCCTTTGCATCGTGCACAAAGGCTGCAGCAGCGAACATGAAAGTGGGAATCGCACCCCCAACCCACCATTCTCACACTTATCATTTTGTCAATTAATTACATCCACACATACACTTCAACCCTTTTGTCCCTTATGCTCTCCAAAAAAAAAAAATCTACTTGAAATTATGTTCCAATTTAATATTTAAGTTGATCTTAAAGAAAATTATTCTTCTTAGAGATTTTTGTTCGAGCAACTGTATTTACAATGTGCGTGCATTATCAATAAATTAAGGAAATTTTGAATAAATATTACATTATAATCACTCTAAGTTATTCAAAAAGTATACTTAATTTTTATACTTCAATTTATTTAGTTCAAATAGTTAATATCATTAACTATTTCAGATTAAAAACATCCTTCCAACTCATTAGATTGATATGGATTTTCACAAATTTGGAAGTAGGACGAAGCCAATTTTTTGTAAGGGTCAAAATTGTTTTTTTCCCTTCTCTTTTCTACCATTGAGTTGGCTTGTAATTTTATGATTTGTGAATGTAATAAAGTAAAATTTACCATTTTGAGGGATTGAAAATATAATTTTATCATTAAAGTAACTTATAAATTTTAGGGGATTTTGCTGAAAGATGACTATTTTAGGTTAAAATATAATTTTAATAGTATAGATGAATATGCATCTGTATTTTAATCAAACTCAAAAAACAATAATTCTTTATAGAGACCAAAAATTAAACAAAAATAACAGTCCCTACTATAAACTCCTAAACATCAAGGTCCTAGTTTGCACAAAGGTGTCATTCACATTTCCCACCTTACTTGTGTTCTAGCCTTCAAAGTAAGGAGAACAAGCTGCTTTACCAGCATGATAATATCCGCAGGAAATCGGTCAAGGCGTCGAAACTGTCTCCGGTTCCTTTCCCTCCAAATCTGGGCGATGCAAAACAATTCCAAGCCAGCTTCAAGAGGAGCGATATCATAGACTTTCTCTTCAATCTGCAATTAAACCAATCCATTCCAACACCAATCCATAACACTCCTACTAACCAGATAGATTTTAAGGTAAAATTTCATATCTTATTCATCGATATAACTATATATATATATATATATCTATATATATATATATATATATATATTATTTTTATTAGATAATATGTAGAGTTATTGAAAAATATATAAAGAAAATAATATTATAATAATTATCTTTAAATATATAAAGATTAATTATACTATTATTTTTAAATCAATTAGATTATACACCTTAAATTTAAATTTATCTTAATCTTATCTTTAAACAAATTCTAAATTAATACAAATCAAAATTTAAAAAATATAATTTTATAAAATTAAATCAAATCAGAACCCACTAAAATCGAATGTAATGGCCTAATGGGGGGAAATCCAACAAATTGCAAAACGTTTGGTTGAGAAATGAGAATTAGCCCTTTTTTGTTTTCACTGTTCCACCTCTTCAAACCTCTTATGTCTGCACCGCGCAGACCACACGCATACATAAGCTTCGCAGACCGTTTGTTTTTTAGAAGGCAGAAGCTCTTCTAACGTCTGCGCGAGCTCTTCTTGGTGCAGACATGATTTTATGTCTTCAAAGGTCTTCAAACCTCTTCAAACCTCTTCAAGAACAATTATAAAATATGGTTATTTATTAAAATAATTTTAAATTATTTAATAAGGTTATTTATTTTAAAATAAATTATTATAAAATGTGGATTGATTTATTTTTAAATAATTTATTTTAAATAATTTATTAGTATGGATTGATTTGTTTTAAAATATGGATTGATTTATTTTAAATAATTTATTAGTATGGATTGATTTATTTTAAAATATAGATTGATTTATTTTAAATAATTTATTTGTATGGATTGATTTATTTTAAAATATGGATTGATTTATTATTGTAGTTGTATGGATTGATTTATTTTAAATAATTATTAGTATGGATTGATTATTTTAAATAATTTATTAGTATGGATTGATTTATTTTAAAATATGGATTGATTTATTATTGTAGTTGTATGGATTGATTATTTTAAATAATTATTAGTATGGGTTGATTATTTAAAATATAAATTGATTTATTTTAAATAATTTATAGTATGAATGATTTATTTTAAAATATGGATTGATTTATTATTGTAGTTGTATAGATTGATTATTTTAAATAATATTAGTATGGATTGATTTATTTTAAAATATGGATTGATTTATTTTAAAATAATTTATTAGTATGGATTGATTTATTTTAAATAATTTATTAGTATGGATTGATTTATTTTAAATAATTTATTAGTATGAATTAATTTATTTTAAAATATGGATTGATTTATTATTGTAGTTGTATAGATTGATTTATTTTAAATAATTTATTAGTATGGATTGATTTATTTTAAAATATGTATTGATTTATATTGTAGTTGTATGGATTGATTTATTTTAAATAATTTATTAGTATGGATTTATTATTTAAAATATGGATTGATTTATTGTAGTTGTATGGATTGATTTATTTTAAATAATTTATTAGTATTGATTGATTTATTTTAAATAATTTATTAGTATGGATTGATTTATTATTGTAGTTGTATGGATTGATTATTTTAAATAATTTATTATTGTAATTGTATGGATTATTTAAATTTCAGTATTGTAAAACTAAATGATTTAAATCTCAGTATTACAAAACTCTTTTAAGTTAAAAAATCAGTTTATTAAATTTTAGTTCATTTTAGCAGTCTGCAGACGTTAAATAAAAACAATCTTCTTCTTGATGACTGCAGACTTTTAATCTATCTCTTCTGGTGCAGATGTCTGCAGATATAATCCGCAGACTGCAAACCTTTTACCTCTGTAAAAACAACCATTACCTTAATTTTGTGGGCGGCTCTCAAAACAGTGACACTTTTATATCTTTCTCTTCAAATGGGGAGAGCAAATAAAAATATAAAATGATACCCATTTCTTATTATTTATTTAAATATATATTTGGTGGCTCATTAATAAAAAAATCTTATCTTCTTCAACAAACATAATGTTGAGCCAGAGCCTCCACAATATGTATGTATATATATAATGATTAATGGCAACTTGGTTTGTGGGTATATAATTAGATCATACAATCGACAATGGCATGGTCAGCTTCAAATTTCCCAACTAGCACATAGACAGAGAACATGATATCATCAATAATTAAATATATATTTTCTAATTTTTAAATCAAATATTCGAGCTTAACTCCCCTTATGTTGGATGTAGTCTGGTTTTGGAGCTCTTCCATGGATTTGGTTTTCTGAACCAAAGCAAGTTTTATCTCAGTTTCTGCCTTAAAAACCAACATGAATAGCTAAAACAGCTGCAGTATTTGAATTTTAAAGACAGTTCCTTTGAAGGTTATCAGCAGAGAAATAAGTACAAAAACACCACAACAATGGAGTTCATATTAAAACGGAGTTGATAAAATTACAATGAGTCACTGAAGAAGTAGATGGTTACAGAATTGATCAGAGAAAGAAGATAACAAACACTTCTCTCTGCCATTGATTGACCCCTTTTGATAAAAACATAAAGAATTAAGAATATAAAGTAATAAATAAAATTTATTTGTTGCCTTGCTTCATCTTCTTCCTAACGCTAACCATGAGCACTTGAACCTTATTGCCCATGTCTGTTTACTTCTCGACCTATCTACTATGACTATTGAATACTGTTACGAATAGAAGAAGAAGAAGAAAGGGTCTTTCTTCTTACGCTACATCTGTTCCTGTTCTATACATTGCTCCACCCATGGTGGAAGCCTTTCTCGAACGCCTTTACCGATATTGTATTGCTGCTGCATTGATCTGCCTCCCATGGGAGTAACGTCTTTCACGAGAGAATTAACCCATGACACGTCTGGCTCGTCAATGTCGGATGGTATCATCGTTGCTGCCCGAGTGTTGTTCCGAAATGCGAAGGAAGCGGACTTCTTAAGCTTGTTCAGCTCATCTCCTGGCATTCCCCAATCCAGTTTCCCGTAGAGGAGCTCCAGTTGGATATGTTTGAAGACATTACGGTAGCGGAATAGCCGGCGCGGTGAGTCCAGCTCGACCGCGGTCGATTAAACTCTGGCTCCGTTTAGCGAAAGCAGAAGACCTGGAAT